ATTTGCTGAGAATTTGATTGCATGTGGAGAAGGGGATTACAATATTGTGGATACGATATTCTATAGTAGGGATAATTGATTGATTATAAATAAGAATTAAGTTTAATAAATTCGATTTTTTTTGTATAAAATTACTTATTTATAATATACCACTATAATGTCAAGTAAAACATTGCGAATTGGTATAGCATTTGTTTGGCATTAGAGAGCTACTCTGTTGAGACTTCGCTTTATGAATAATTGTATTAGTTTAACATTATTTTTATGTATATTTAAATGAAATGATTATAACTAGCACTTCATTTATCCTTTTATCTAATAATCTATATATAGATAACTCTAAATGTTTATAATAAAAACAATCAATAATTCTATAATTGTGATTTTGCTATCATTATAGTTTATCAATAGATTTGGGCTCTTATATGTAATATTTTTTAAAAATTAGGCTCTTGTATATAATTATTTTAATTCGGGCCCGTATTTGTAATTATTTTCACTTTCCAGACCCTTATTTGTTTCTCTATTTGTAATACAGTATATATTTATGTTAAATAAAATTTTAATTAGTAATGATTTGCTTTTAAAAAATTATATAAGAACCTGTTATTCATATAAATAATTTTATTTTTTATTATTTATAAATTTATAAAATTTTTAAATTTTTAAATTTTTAAAATACCTTACCAAAAGCTTACAAAACCTTGTGCTGTTAAAGATTGTACTAATACAGTTAAATCTTTTAGAAATGTAACTAAAGAACTTAAAACTAAAATTGATCAATATTTTGATTTACAATATAATTATTTAAAAGTTAATCAAGATCAAATTTGTTTTGGACTTATTTTAAATGATATATTAGTTAATGATATTGATTATTTAAAATTTTATGAAGAACAACAATATATTGATTTGGATTATAATAATTTTTCAGATATAACTACAAAAATTATTGATGATGGTTGATCAAACAAATTTTAACAAATTAATTAATAGAATTATTAATTATGAAATTCAAAATAATAATAACAATAACAATAACAATAACAATGATAATAATAATAATAATAATAATAATAATAATAATAATAATTATAATTATAATAATAACAATAATAATAATAATAATAATAATTTAATACAAATATGTAAGTTTATTATTTATTAATAATAATATAATAATATACTGTATATTTAAATATTATAATTTAATTTATAATTTAAATTTATTTATTTTAAAGCACAATAAAATTCATTTTCTAATCAATTACAATTATTAACAAAAGTATTATATAAATATAAAAAACAAAATAATAATTATATATTAAATTCAAATGATTTTAAACAGTTAATTGAAACAGAAGAATCTCAATTAATTAGATTTTTAGATGAAATGACAAATGCATTAGTTCCAGAAAGAAGAACTGAAAAAAATAAAAAAAAAGTATAGCAACAAATTATTAGTCAATGTTATCTTTTAGCTAGATTACATAGCCAAAATATAAATAAATATAAAATTGATCTTAGTTTATATTTATCATCTTGTGGATTAAGTATAACTAGAATTAATTTTTTAATGAAAGCTGGAATAATTATAAGTTCAAAAACATTATATACTTATAAAAAAAAAATTAAAAATAATATTTATTGAAAATTAATGAATATTTTGCTTATCATATAAGTAAAATTATTTTATTTATAATAATTTTAATTTTTTTTTTTTTTTTTTTTTGGGGTGTTAAAGTGACCTCTATGGCTAGAAACTTTTTATTAGACTTATTAACTTCAGATTATACAGTTACAACGAGAGTACATCAAGCCACACATGTACTTTTGGTACCTAATTTAAGTAGTCTGTCTGGGTTCTACACTAGCCACTATACCTGCAACCTAACTAGGAGATTACTTATTTAAGCTCTCTGATTATTACTAATGAGAGTATGACTAGCTCTACATACAACTTTTAGTTGCCTATTTAAGTAGTCTGCCCTAGGTTCTACACTAGCTGCCATATCTGCATCCTAACTATGAGGATACCCATTTAAACCCTCTGGTCACAACGCTATCTGTTCCTAAACTAACCAAGATGCAACTCACTATTTATATGTAGATTTTTGTGATACCTGTAGATTTCGCATCCACCTTAGGATTTATTAACCATTTCTGGCTAATCTATCCACGAGGTAAACCTAACCGAGTAGTCCATATCCCACACATGTTTATATCTGCATGTTTAGTAATTTTCTTCTAACTAGTACCTGTTGTGCAGCCATCACTAGGTTTGTATCTCAAGCTATCCTTTAGGATACTGCTGTAACCCGATTCATATCTCAAGCCACAACTTTTCTAATTAGTCTTCTATTATGTACTTCTCGCTCTTGTAAGGTTCGCACAACCCCAGTACTCATATTTGGACTTTCTTTCTTCCTTGGATTCTTTACCAGTCTTTCTCTTACTTCTAGCCAGCAACCTGGAAGGTCAGTCTGCCCAGGCTTTAGGTGCCTTACGGTCTCTCTTCTCTTGATACATGCTTCCAGAGCACATGTCCTTTTTCTCTGGTTGGCAACCTAGCGGTTTGGCTGGTGTGTTTCTCACTTAAGAACCTGGTTGCTTGGTTCTCCGGTCTCAGTCTCTAATTCCAAATTCAGTCTTCTTGTAGCACTT